TGTATCGTATATTGTCGACTACGTTCGACTTCAACAATGGCTCCTGTAATAAAATGTAAATGAATCATTATTAGATCATCTATTGCCGACTACGTTCGGCTTTAACAGTTGCTTCTGTGATAAAATATTAATTAATTATCAATTATTGTATCGTATATTGTCGACTACGTTCGACTTCAACAATGGCTCCTGTAATAAAATGTAAATGAATCATTATTAGATCATCTATTGTCGACTACGTTCGGCTTTAACAGTTGCTTCTGTGATAAAATATTAATTAATTATCAATTATTGTATCGTATATTGTCGACTACGTTCGACTTCAACAATGGCTCCTGTTATAAAATGTAAATGAATCATTATTAGATCATCTATTGCCGACTACGTTCGGCTTTAACAGTTGCTTCTGTGATAAAATATTAATTAATTATCAATTATTGTATCGTATATTGTCGACTACGTTCGACTTAGGGCGCTCCACTCGCAATCTGAGGGTCGCGGGTTCGAATCCCCGTCCCACCAAACGTGCTCGCCCTTTCAGCCGTGAAGGTGTTATAATGTAACAGCCAATCCCACTATTCGTTGGTAAAAGAGTAGCCAAAGAGTTGGCAGTGGGTGGTGATGACTACCTGCCTGCCCTCTAGTCTTTCACTGCTAAATTGGGGACGGCTAGCGCAGATAGACCTCGTGTATGTTGACGCGAAATTCATAACAAACAAACTTATAATTACTGTTTTAGTCTTCTCCTGTTGAAGCTGTGGTCATTTGATCCGTTCCTGGATCAAGAGGTTTACCTCGCTTGTTCACCAGTTTTTCTGAATGATGAACAGGTAAATTCAAGTAAAATAAATAAATAATACTATCAAAATTTGATTATTAAATTACATGCATAATATATTGTTAAAAATCCCTACCCTAATTCTGATACGTAGTGACATGCGTAAAATCGATAAACTTTTTCAGCTTAACCCAGTTCACGCCGTAACAGTTGTTATTCAAGCAAGTCGCTAATATAAATTGCGTCTCCACCATTACTATGTCTGTCGTATCCCAGACGGCCTGAAAAGCCTTGGTATTAGATACAGCAAGCATACATGATATTTAATTATAATCTCTTCTTTAGTTTCACTCAGAAGTTCATATAAACAATGATAAGATGCTAATTTTTGTCTCTTAGTGGAGTCGATAATAGACGATCTAATAATGATTCATTAACATTTTGTCACAGAAGCCATTGTTGACGTTATCAATTCGAATGTGATAAATAGATTGTTTAAGAGACTTAAGTAGTTGGGAGAGACTAATACTATATTCGAGTTGATAAGTACATTGTTCAGGAAACTTGGAAGACCAGGAGGCAATAATCATATGTAATCTCTCCATCGTAATAAATACGTTATTCAAAAGACATAAGATCAAGAAAAACCAACCATATGTTATCTCCAACTATATATATATAGTTCAAAAGACTTATTAGGGTGATGAGCGATTTACCGTTTCTTATAATTAGGTTGTGATTAGTCTCTCCCCTATAACTCTTTTAAGGAATATGAAGTTGGAGATGATATATGATTAGTATCTCCCGATTCTGTAATCTTTTGTAACAATTTTTTTATTTACTTTTGTGTCTTTTTTTTCAGTTGTTTTGTTGGATACAACAAGAGAAAGTTCACTGGACTGGACTAGATACCCTTACGGACCGCAAGCTAGGACCCCTGGGGTGAGTAGGGAATTTTTCATTCAAGTGGTACTATGAATCTTTGTTGTTGTTGTTCTAAAGAGTTTGTTCTTTATCTCGACTACTTGCTAGTTAAGTTTTCCTGTTAGCATTTTCGGAATGAAACATAACGTTAGTGGTTATAAGAGATTTTTTATTTCGTCATAGATCCTTCATCTAATGCCATTGCAACTGTTTAAAAATATTACGCTTAAACTTTTTTTAACTTTTGTCCAAGAACCGACATTTAATTGTGCACTGCTGTTATCTTATACAGACATTTATTTATATGCTCCAAACAATTGTTATTACTGGTATTCTCTCGTTCGTCGTCATTTTGTAGTATGGAGCTGTAAGTGAGCTAATTATTCATTTAAATTTTTTATAATTTTTTTGTTCTCATTTATAGTTTTTATTTGCTTAGGGGTGGGGTTGACTAGCTGCCTTCCCTCTAGTCTTACACTGTTGAATTAGAGACAGCTATTGCAGATACCCATCGAGTAGTTTTGCATAAACATCCAAACAAACAAAACTGATTCGCAGATTGGTACACTACTCATTAGGCTTCGCCGAACTTTCACAGTTAAGCATTTCAAATCTGTTTGTATTATATGTAGAACTTTTACATTACTGCGTGAACACTGGGGATCAAACACGCCCGTTCTTTAATCATTAAAAATTAAGAGAGCACAAGTTACGTAATATACAGGGGAATTATATAAACGAAAGTTGTTATTTGTGTTCATGAATTTATTAGTTTAATTTCCGGACACTCTGTATATCTTTGTGCAGTATAATGGATGTAATATAGTTAAAATGCAGTTGGAAATCTTGCACGAATCTCTCTATGCGTAGAGGTATTTCATAAAATTTGTTTAACCGTATTTGATCAAATTAATATAGGCAAATGGTAGCCTTTTCTATCTATTTTCCGTTTCAAGTTTAAATAATGTATTTAAGGAGAGAAAATACACATTAATGAACAAAAAAACTGTTTCATGATTTTACTTTAAAATATACAATAATTCTACTTCGTTTTTCCGTTGTTGTTCCACTAACAGGTAAGAATGCTGTTGGTTCGCACAGTATGTAGATAATATTATTGCGTCATAATGCACTTATAGAAATTGATAGTAATACTGTCAAATGCATTCATTATATTAGACATTTCGTTAATACTTGTTTTAGTGTATATAGAAGCATCTTTATTCTATTTTTCCAGCTTCTCTTCTGGGGTTTGAATGCACAATGAATGACCAATGTAATATGAAAGTTCCAAACAGTCACTGCGACAGTGGCGAGTGTCGCTGTCTGCCTAACTTTTTACCAATGAGGATAGACAAGTGTCTACCAGGTGAGTTTTCAACTTTCTAGTTATGAGCGTGATACACTAACTTTGAGTTGGATCATAGTTCAAACCCTTGTCTTTCGTTAATAATGATGATGATACAAATCATATCTAACCTAAAATTTGATTACATCTTTTAATTGTGTCAACATTTTAATACCTTCAGAAAAAAAAGAAAAAAGGAAACTGCTTATTTCTCAAGATCTAGTGTCTTCATAGTCTTATTCTTTATAAATTTTACCCATTAACTTCTCAGATAAAGCACAAGTTTAGTGAAACTATAAAAACCCAAATTAGGTCCACGTGTATTACTGTTCTTGTTTCTCGGTATTTGTCGAATGATAGTAATTAGTACTTTTTGTTTGAGTTTGATTTTACAATTTCAGAATTTTATCTATGGATGCTGAGCTCGTAAGATATTTTAAATAGTAAACTTATATTCGCTTTTATTTCTTAATTTCGATTATACATCAGCGCTTCTTCGTTTCGCCTCACAGTGGCTCAGCGGTATGTCTACGGACTTACAACGCTATAATCCGGGTTTCGATACCTGTGATGGGCAGAGCACAGATATCCCATTGTGTAGCTTTATGCTTAACTTATGGCCAGGTGGTTAGGGCGCTCGACTCGCAATCTGCGGGTCACGTGTTTGAATCCTCGACCTACCAAATATACTCGTCCTTTCAGCCTTGGTGGCGTTATAAGGTGACGGTCAGTCCCACTATTCGTTGGTAAAATAGTAGCCCAAGAGTTGGCGGTGGGTGGTGATGACTAGCTGTCTTCCCTCTACTCTTACACTGCTAAATTAGGGATGGCTAGCACAGATAGCCCTCGTGTAGCTTTGCGCGAAATTCAAAAACCGCCAACTCTTCAGCTACTCTTTTACCATTGAATAATGAGATTGACAGTCACGTTATTATGCCCTACTCGGGATGTTCGGTAATTGGGATTTGAACCTGCAGGTTGCGAGACAAGCAGCATAACTACTAAGCCATGTTAGTGAGTCGGAAGGACCAAAGATCGAGTATGCATACGTTCCGTACTTTAAGATACAGAGTGTACCCAACTGGTGAATCAATGTATAATAATTATTTCAAGTGTATACGAACACAGTATTAAATTAACCATATTAATTTTAGTCGGTTAATGTTCAGTTATGAGCTATGGACTTAACTTGCTTTGATCAGAAGTTAATGATAATGATAGTAACTTCAGTTATCTTTCTTGTCCAATGCACTCAACAGATTTCAATCACTTTCAGTATCTTTGGGATCCATTTATATGCTCAACTCGGCATAATAATTCTTTTGTGATATCTCTGAATCAAATGAAAACCGTACTCTCAAGCAAGTTGGATATATTCGAACAAGACCCTTTGAACGTCTTTATCTCTCCCATGCAAAGTACACTTTATTATCGTGGTAAACTTGGGTTTAATGGGATGCCAGTTGGAGATCCTGATAAATCTGTCGATTAGTGTTTAATATACGTGAGATATTCTGTATACGATTCTATTATATAAGTAATTTTTGCATTTCTTTATATAAAGGTGCCACAATTTTAAGCATATTTTGAAAAACGAAATATGTATATATTATAATTTCAGTTTCTAAAGACATCGTTTTAAGAAAACTCGTTAACCATAGAATTATAGGTAGTTCCATATTAAACTGCATACAAAGACTTCAAGTATATGTAGTTTATTTTGTAAGTCTACGATAGGTATAAGATAGGAATAGAGATTGATCCCTGTTGATTTGATGAGAGAATCAGATAGAAAATGTTGAAATATATTAATCGTTCTTAACTAACTGTTACTTTTATAACACACCTTCGTTGACGGGCATTTGCTTAGAACCAGTTTCGGGCAACATGAGTGCAGTGGATTGTTGTATTATCATTTCGCAGGAACTCCTGTCTCCTAAGGTGCAAAAACAGTCTTATAGCTTGGAAAACGCTCAAATGTAGAAGGTATTCGCTCTTCTAAAACAGTCGGAGAATCTTTTCCAGAAAAACCCTCCTCACACCATTACACCATCTCCAACAAATAACGCTGTACAAACAACACGAATGGAGTCTAAAGCCGGATCTATTAGGTCGTCAAGAAATTAATGTCGCTTGTTTTAGATGATAAAACCCGAACAACTTATATATATATATAACATTTATTAAATGAAATAGTCTCTATTCTTATCGATGATGATTTTCCAACTTACAATTAGGTTGTTAATGCTCTGATTAAAGAGCATTAAGATGGTGTT